CACTCTGAGTATTTTGGTTTTAAGATTTTTTGATCAGAATTATCTCAGAAATATACCCTAAGCGTTGTTACGGTCTTTACGAAACACCCTGTATATGTAAAAAGAAAACTGAGACTTACAACAGTTGTTCTAAGTGTACTATTCGAGGGCAGTATATTCGTAATAGAATATGTTTCCCGATAGTACATAATAATTGCGCTATTTTAAGAACCGACGAAGACTTTATAAATAATAGGTATACAGATTATCAGATTGGGGAAACAATATTCCAAAACATACCTAATTTTAAACCTATGACCGATGTACCTTTAAACTACATGCACTTAGTGTGTTTAGGAGTAGTCAAAAAATTAATTTTACTTTGGAATATAGGACCGCATTCGGTTAAACTATCTGACCAAATGATAAAAATAATCTCGTTAACAGATTGTTAATTGCCCTCTGCTCGAGCACCAAAAACAAAAAAACGGCGATAATACATTTTAATAGCGATGCGATAGATGACAGCTTCAACAAATAGTTAGATTAAATTTGATAACTCAATAGACTCAATATAAAATAATTTTGTATACAGTTTTGCTTACTGCTACGCGATCAACACCAAAACGTAAATTTAGAATTAATATCAAACAACTAGCATTTATAATAATGTTGAATTTGTTATCATTCGATTATTATGTCGAGAATTTTTGTATTGCCTTAGAGTCACGGGACAATATACCGACGATCGATTTTCTTAAAACAAAGCTTATTGAACAGGAAACACGACGTATCGATCAAGATGATTGCAAAAGTTACGATTTAGAAAACAACGCATTAATGGCAAATAATTTATATTGCTAAATATAGATGCTAGCTTCACACACTTATTGGTTGGCCCACCAATAGAAGAGGTACGGAAGTGGAGAATTACAAGGCCTTAAACTAAGAGAAAGAAGAAAAAGAGATTGATGAGATTGATGAGATATTGCAAAACATACTAAAATATACAGGGTGTCATGTAACTGGTGGTACAAGCGGGAAGGTGGTGATTCTA